TATATATTTATATTTGTTATATTTATAAAAAAAATTTATATTTATTTTCAAACTAATCTAAACTAGGGGAAGGATTTATTTATTTTAATTTTTGTAGCTTTCATATAGTATACTACTTAATATTCATTTTTTTTCTCAATTTTTATTTTCATTAATATTTAAATTTTTCCCTTTTCTAATTTCTTTTATTACTACTTACATTTTCTTGTTGTACTTATGTGAAAAAGTTTTCAAGTATTGCAGCGAGCCTCGACGTAATCCGTTTACCACTGCACTCTGCAGAACTTTATAGGTCTGACTTAATTTCGAAAAATAACGAACACAAACTACTAGAAGCTCTGGTCGTACTTTCATTAGCATCAAGGCTTAAGCTCCTTATCCCGACATGGCCTCATGCTATGCTATCTACTTTACATAATGTTCCACCTTCACGGTTGTATTTCATGTGTAATCGTGTGTAATTTTTAAGAAAATTGCACGTTTACACACACTCACACACACACACACGCCCACACGTGGGTATTTTTGCCAGTGCATGAACATCCCCGACAACAACAACCCTAAAACAATGCATTGGCCAACAGAAAACTTTTCAACTCACGTGTGAGTGTGTGTGTGCTATTGTCCGTGTGTGTGCGTAAGTAAATGTTGCATAAATAATTTTAACTGAATGACTTAATGTTGTGCTAGCCGCCCTGTGGCATGAGGCGCATTATTGATTATTTTCCAGGCAGGCACTCGAAAAGTTTAGCTGCCAAAAAAGTTGCAACAGCCCGTTCCATTTCCTTCCTTTCATTCGCTGCCTTAAAGTAAGTCGACTTTTGCGCTTGGCACTTAATATGCATTCGGTGCTAATTACAAATCAAAAGGCAATTTAATGGCCTACGGTACAAATTGGAATTGGCCGAGGCCGGACGCCGTTTTCCAATCAGAAATTGGTTTGTGCCACATTTGAAGCGCTACCTCAAAATGGATGGCAGCAGAATGTGCAACAATTTAGTTCGACTATTAATTACAGCAAGTCGCTGGCTGCAGCAGCAACAGCAGCAGCAGCAACAGCAGCAGCAACAACATGTTTAGCATGTTGCAGCTATGCAAAATTATTGATGATTTTATTAATTTGAATATTGGCAAGGAACTGAAGTATGCCGTACGCCATGTGCCGTGTGCCGAGCTGCGCTGTGGCATGACAAAACGCTGGCCAAGACATTGGCCGGCCCGAGTGTCTCAAATGATAAATTTTTACCAATAGAAAGTTGCATGGAGATTGCAATTTATAGCTAGATTTTACGGCAGCAACATGTTGCAAGCGCGTTGCGCCAACAAAATTAGACCGGTTTCTAATGCGTTTTGCTGTTGCACATGTTGCAGACGTTGCATGTTGCTGCTGCTGCTGCTGCTGCTGCTGCTCCTGCTGCCGATTTAGAAAAGAAAATGCAACAAAATATAGTCAGGCACTTGATATGAATTATAGCTGCCTGGCCATAGCGATAATTAATCGTGCTATTTAGTGTGCTACATGAAATTCTACCAGTTTGTCGGTTATTGATTAGATTTGCTGCTGCAGCCTGTTTGCTGTTGTTGCTGCTGTTGCTGCTGCTGCTGCTGTTGCAGGAAGCGCTGTTGCATGTTGCTGCTCGCCTGTGCAATTTGGACACACTTTTAATATGCGCAAATTGTACTTAATTTAGCTGGCATATTTTGCCGCTGCAATTTGACGTATTTACGGCTAACTTTCACAACATGTTGCCAAGGTGCAGCAGCAACAATTGCTCATTAGGCGCTGTCTCTGTCGCACGCAGCGAAATCACATGATAATATATGCCTAACGCACGTAGTTCCAGGTGAGTCTCTCAAGTGCTCTCCTTTTTCTCGCTGTGTACTTCTCCTGCTGCTGCTGCTGCTCCTGCTGGACTCTGCAGCTGCGACTGCTCCTGCTTCTGCTGCTGCTGCTGCTGCTGCTGGTGTTGTGCATTCGTGTTTTGCTTTGTTTGCTGCTTATGCATATGCCACATGCCTCGACTGGGTGGGGTTGAGCGGAGGGGCGCAATCGTGGCCCAGACATTTGCATGCAATGTACAAAATTAATTATTACTCCTTCTCTTGGGCTGCGGCTCCTGCTGCTGTCCACTTCCTGGCCAAAATCTACAGCCCAAACGTCTACAGCCCCGACTCAGACATTACATGTCCTGCACACACACACACATTCACAAACCCACCCACTCAACCGCCCAACCGCCCAACCACCCCGCCCCGCTGCCTGTTTGCGGCTCATTATGAGCAACGACGTCGGCGACGTGGCCGGAAAAGTGCGTTCGTTGACTGCTGTTGGCTGCCCAGCTCGGACTGGAGTCCAGCTCCGACTCCTGCTCCGACTCCTGCTCCGACTCAGAGTGCAGTTGCTTCGACCGTTTTGTTGCTGCTTGCATTGGTCATGGCGGCTTTGCATTATTACAACTGCAGACAGTTGTAGGCGAGTTGCCTGCATAGTTGCCAGCAACAACAGCAACAGCAAGTCAAACACACTCGCTTACACACACACACACACACACACACACACACACACATACTCGCACTCGCACACACATGCATCCATTTGCATTATGCATTAAAATCAACGCCCGTTTTGTGTACTTAACCATGCCAAGCTGAAGACAGCAACAGCAGAATCAGAATCGGAGCTCTACTTCGCATTTAGTGTTCGATTTTCGACCAGGCACTTTCTTTTTGTGTGTGTGTGTGTGTGTGTGTGTGTGTGTGTGTGGTGAGTTTCTGTGTTTCTGAGTTGGCCAGAAATGTCAACGTATTTTAAAATCGAATGAGCTGGGCATTCATTTAGTCGCCTCTACTTAAGCTCCTGCAATTTTCCAGCTGAAAACAGCGAACTGAAGCTAGAGACAGATAAAATCTCTATTGAGTGTAGCCCTTAGTAGACAGAATACTTTAATTTATATTCTATAATATAAAATTACATTTATTGTTGTAGCATTTATTTTAGATATATTTCCTTTATTTATTTATTTTCTATCTTATTTATAGTTTTATTAATTATTTCTTATTCTTTTGCTAGATATATTTAATTTATTTATTCATATGCTAAACAAAATAATTTTAATTTATTTTATTTCTATTGTTTTAGTTATTTATTTATTATTCTATTGCTAGATATCAGCTAGATTTCATTTATTCGATTATTTATAATTTTATTATTATTAAAAATTATGTAATTTAATATTTTTTTTTTTTTTTATATTTTTATAAATATCCATAGTTTTTTATGTTTGGTATTTCTCCCTTATTTATTTACAAGTTTTCAATTAACAATAATTTTATTTTTTATTTTTAATTTTTTAATTTTTTATTTTAGTTTCCACAATATTTTTTTATTTCTTTTGTTAAGTAATATTATATTATTTCAGCAACATTATTACTGTTTTATATATTTGCTATTTCCATAATTATCAATGCATTTTGACTATCCCAATGCAAAACCTCTTCCGAACTTTCTCCTTCACCTAATCTGCAATCTTAAACATATCTCTAAATGATTTATGAAGAAAGTTACGTATATGCTCTGATCGCTTGCTACACTGAAAAGACTCTCCCATTTATATATCTACTTGGAAGCATATGCATTTGTGTTTGTATAACAAAAAACTTTCTTGCCAGACGTGACTCACTCCTTTGTCAGAGTCTGGTTACGTCCCGCCAGGCATATAAATTATAATGCGGAGTAGGTGTAAAATTTTCGATTACGACAGGGGGAGGGAGGCAGGCACAGCCCTAGCCACCCCCTAGCAACCGTTGCGGCTACTTTGCGAACCTCCCTTGTTCTCTGTCGAGTCATTGTCCAGTCCAGTGCCGGACGTCGTGGCTGCTTGCAAGGACACGCGGAGAGGACGTCGCAGTCGGAGTCGAAGCAACATTTTGCATTTGCAAAATTATGCGGCATGTGTGCGACGCTTCCTGCAACCACTTGTCCCTCCTGTCCCTGGCCATGCCCCAAATATTATGCTGTTGCCTTTTGTTATTTGTTTGTTGTTGTTGTTGTTGTTGCTGTGGTCAACCGGATGGCAACAGGGATAATTAATGAAATTAATGCGCTTGGGCATGAGTTTTAAGTGCACGAAATATATTCGATAAATGTAAATTCTAAATTATGACTCGCAGCAGGCAAAAGGCGCAGGTACAGTCACCATCTCGACAAAATACCAACCCAACTGGGGGGTTGTTTGTCCGCTTCGGGTTTACCGGGTGCATTTTAATGACAATTAACTGCCGCATTAGTGCATTATTTGGACACAGCTGTAGGTCTAGATCTGGGCAGAGCTGCTATCAACTAAATATTCCGTGAGAGACCCATAGACTAGATGAAAGGCTACTAAATACTATAAATACTAAAAGTGATTTAATAGCGATAAATTTATAAAAAAAAAAATTAAGCTATAATATGCACCTTATTGCTCAGTCAGTATGGAAAATATAGATAAGATTTTATATATTGAGATATATTATATATACATATATTTTTAGTTAAACAATAATAATATCTCTTCGAAATTCATAGGTAACTAAATTTAAAGCGTCAATACATAAACATTTTATGCAGTCAATTATATGGAATATTAAATACAAATAATTGCTGTAGCTATAAGCTTAGCTAAACTATGTTTAGGCTGGGAACTAGGTTACTTAAGCCAGCTCATTAACCACAGACTACAGATTGCACAAGATTACATAAAAAACTAAGGGTAATTACTTGTAATATCTTTCGTTCAAGCATCATTTATAAATCTAGATAAACTACAAAGTAAATGTATTTGCAATGCATTCATATATACACATATATATTTATGTATATTCATAGAGATGCACGCTGACTGCAAAAGGTCTTGCAGCGAGTGCCTACATTATCACTATGACAGCCTGTTAAGTTAACCCTTTGATGCTTAACTGATTGGTTTAAAGGCAACTCTTGACTTGCTCCTCCTTTCTTGCAGACGGCGCACACAATGCGAGGGGGTCAGTGACATGGCCGAGGGCTGCGAGGACTCTGCCGGTGCCGCTGAATCCACAACTTCACAGTATAAGCACGACACGATGCTGGGCACGGTGTTGCCTTGTGAGGCGGCTATTGTTGCGACACCAGGCAGCAGCAGCAGCAGCAGCAGCACCAGTAGCGGCAGCAACAACAACAATAACAATAACAACACCAACACCACCAGCAGCAGCAACAACAACAATACTGCCAGCAATATTGTGAAGCGGGAGTTCTGCGATGGCAGCATGATGCCAGGTGCCAGTGTCAACAACAACAACAACAGCAGCGTCAGCAATAATAATAATAATAACAATAACAACAACAATACCAAAATGCAAGCATTGATATGCAGCAGCAGTAGCAATAACAACAACAGCAGCAGCAACAACAACAACAGCAACAATAACAATGCAAACAGCAGCAGCAGCTCATCATCATCCTCCTCCTCGTGCTCCTCCTCCTCGTCCAGCTCGTCGGCCAGCACTCTAACAAGCTGCACTACCGCAGCCATCGTGCCCTCGAACTGCTCCACAAATGCCAACAAGTCGCCCAGCTCGCCCTACTCCCAAAGCGGAACCATCGGCCTGGGCATCGGCGTAGCGCTCGCCAGTCCGCTGCGCGAGGCCAGTCCGCTGCCCAGCCGCTGCTCGCCGGCAGTCGCTGCGGCGCAATCGCCGTGCGGCGGCGTCACGCCCGCCTCGCCGCCATCGATCTCCTCCAACAGCTCGTCGCATGTGCTGGCGCTCAACATCAAAACCGAGTCGGTGAGTCGCTAAACGCCAACATTTCCAATTACCTTACACTAATCAGAGCAACTGCATAAAAGAGATAAAAATCATAGTTGATGATTGAGCTAATATATTCAAATAATTTATTAAACAATTATTTCTACATATATATTGAAGTAACAGCAATATTTCCTATTGCCACATTTAAGAAGAAAATGTTTAGAATATGGCAACATTTTTTTTTGTATTCTACATTTATTATTATTGATTTATTCATAAAATTATTTAAAGTCTGCGCTCAATAAGACTACAAAAGTAGGTGGGGCCTTAGCATTCACATTCAACTTTTGGGGAGATCGATACGATCTATATATCATAAATTTAGAACTCAACACGAAATAATAATAAATCATACATAAGTCAACTCTAATCAGATATATTTCCAATAATAATAATGAATTTATATATACTGAACACATGCTGACTAATTAATAATTAACAATTATTTTAAAGAAATGACGTAATAAGAAACAAGTAATTGACATTGAACACATATACATAAATAAAAATATAAAATTATTAAATATTTCAATAAATAAATATTAAAAACAAATTAATATATAAATATGATAAATTAAAAAATATAAAATGAAATAAAAAAAGAAAAAAAAAACATATATTATATTCTCCGTTAACAAAAATTATCTTTAAATGTCCAATTATAAAAATTAAAAATATAATAAATTAAAACAAAGAAAGAAATAATATTAAAAATAAAAAACAACAACAATATATTAAATCAATAAAATAAAATGTATATGTTAATAATTAAAGTTTATGTAAATCAATAAAAAATTATTTAAATACAAAATATTTATATAACAGAAATGCATATAATTTATAATTTTATATGATATAAATTAAAATGATCCAAATAAATAAATATATAAAAATTATATAAAAAAGTAATAAAATAATAAATTATAGTATATATATATATTTAATATATTACAAAATATATGTAAAAAAAAAATAATATTCATAATATATAAACATATATCAGTTATAATTTGATACGACATAAATTCCTTAAAATTATCCAAATAAATACTTTTTGCAATGGCATAAAAAAATAGTAATTCGAGCTTTGCTATTTGCGTGACAAATAACGCGATCACGCGCGCATCTCTAGCTGAATTCAGAAATTGGTTTGCATTTAATTAGCATGCAAGCGGCGCGGCGATCATTAATTAGTTGCGGCACCGACTGGCTAATCATGAAATCAGCAAGCTTGCCGCAAAATGTTGCCACTACAACTGTGACAATTCCTGCAACTGGCTGCGGTCCGAGCGTCAAGGGCAAACTTGGCGTCAAACATTTTACGCTACAAAACGTTATAAAGCAGCCGCAGGCTGAAGCTATGTCGTGCACGAGAAACAAAAAAAAAAAAAAAAAAAAAGCACACACAAAAAAACTACAAAAATAAATAAATAACAAAAATAAAAACAAAAGCCGAAAACTTAATACAACAACAGCGGCGGCAACACTCGGTCAAATATTTGTCCCAATTTTAATGACCATAAAAACTAAGCAGAAACAACAACAACAACAACACAGCAGCAACAGCAACAGCTACAAAAATGAGATCACAAAAAAGTTTGTGCAATTGTCAGCAATAAATAAAAAATTTCGCATGTCCTCGTTGGCCTGAGTTGGCTCAGTTGGGCTCGCATTGGTTTTGCCTGGGCTCTCCGCACTCCGCACCCCGCACTCCGCCTCCTGCCGCACTCGGCCTATGCCTGCCGGCGCATAGTCATAGTAGCTTGGCAAATCAGCAGAAAGCAATGAGCCGCTCCGCTGAAGACGCCGATCCGTTGATCAGCGGGAATCGCTTCGATCGCTTTCAAGTTTATTTTTGTTTAATTTTTCGTTCGTCTTAGGCGCTTTGTTGTCGTTCGCTTGTTGCTCATAAAATTGTGCTAAATTATGGGCCAAATAAAGGGATAGGGTTTCCACGACGAGCTGCAATAAAAACACTTGAAATATTCACATCGCTCAAATTATGAAGTGCTCGAGATGTGAGCGGCCGATGTTGTATTAATTATATGGAAAATAAAAGTGACGAAGATTCAATTATCCTCAGCTTGCTCGACTTTTAACAGCTGCTTGAATTGCAAATATGTTGATTTTCATATTATTCATAATTGTTTAATTATTATTATTTTCTGTTGATCTGGCGATTCTCATATTAGCTATTAAGAAGAATAATAAACTCAGTCTCGCTATGACAACCAATCGTTGCGGTTCTTCGCATCCAATCGTTAGCAATCGGCAACATTTTCTTTATTACTGATCTTTGCGAATCAGTTAAAAATTTTAAAATATACAAATATATAAATTCGGTATAAAATATAGATATTACACCTATAGAAAATATACAGTTCAATATAATTTATATTATATTTTATAATAAGCTTATCTTATCTTATGACATGCTTATATATTTATCCATCTCTGGAAGTGCATCATCATCTCTCATCATTTGTTTCACTCTGTTGAAATTTCTTATTATATGGTATATTCATAAAGCATTCATTAAAATTTTAATTGAAGGCATCTTACATTTTAATTCTATTTATATATATTACCTAAGTCAATGAATTACTTACATTACAGACATATTTTCTTCAAGCTAAACTTTATCTGCTTCAAGCACCTACTCCTCGACAGCTCTGTATTCTTTTTGACAGCCTCCTGCAGTGATGTTTTCGCTTTAGCTCAACCGACTCGCCGATAGGGAAACCATGGAATAGACAGAAGTTACTTTAGCAGACTTATAAATATATTCCCTTGGCCTATGGAGCAATACAAAGTTCAGCAGTTCAGTTCCTGCTGCAATTTAAACTTTTCTTTAATCACACTAAGTTGAAGCTCAATCAGCTGGCTTAACGAGCCGCTCGATCGAACCCACTACAGAGCTGAAATATGCAGAAAAAGTGTTCTCCTATTTTATCACTCAAGCATCAGAGTTCAACATAGTTGACTGTAGCGCAACAAGCTAGAAGCAGCCCTGATTGCTGTCTATATCTATCGAAAGGCATTTTACCAATAAATAATTTATTTAAATTTTCACCAAGCTTGGCTAGTCAAAAAATTGCAAATAAATTTTACTAATTATTATTATTATTATTTATAAAATTCTGCATTGCCAAAAAAAAATTTTTTTTCTGATTTGCTAAAAAATAATTATGCTTTGACTTTACGACATTCCAATACATACAAATTAGCATTCTTTGTCGATAAACTTTATTCAATAAAGAAAAAAAAGAATTAGAAGCATATTCGATATCTTTGACCGCATTTTGGTTTTGTTCGCTTTGTCTCTGTCCAAGCCGAATTCATTCTAATGACACAATCAGCTCACACGAGACACGCACACACATACACTTGGACACCCTCTCAGGCAACTTAAGTACGCCCCTGCCCCCGCATTCAGTTAACCCCCGTCGAGTTCCCTTGAGCAAATGCGACTTGTAATGCTCAAAAAGCCAAAACAAAATTTTGTAAAAAGCAATTAATAAAAATAAAGCAATCAAAAAAGTGCATAAAATTTATGTGCATGCAGTCAAATGAGTAATCGTCTGGCCAACACGCACACACACACACACACACACATAATAGAGATACCAGCGGCAACAAGAGCGACAATAATAAACCAGCAACATTTATTGAAAATTAAACAAAAAAGAAACGGCAGCAGCAACAACAACAACAAAAATCGCAAAAGGCAAATAATAAGCGCAAAATAATCAGTACACACACACACACATGCACACTGAAAAAAAAAAAAAGAAATAAATTTTGTATTGGCGACTGGAAACAAGAAAATCCAGGTGCTATAAAGATCGTACTAAAGGCCACAGCGAGCACAAAAAGAAAAATCAAGAAATCAGAAAAGCGAAATTTACATACACTAAAAAGGATAACAAACAAAACAAATAATATTTATAAAAATATCTAGAAAATTTATAAAAATTATATATAAATATTTAATAATAAATTCTTGCCAAATTAATAGTAAAATTTAGTAAATTATTATTAAACTTGCTTAGTCGTCACACTCAGTTGAACAGCTTTGGGTTAGAGTATCTGAGGCTATGCAACTGCACAATAGCGCTTTGACAAGCAGCTGGAGGTGGTGGGTAGGCAGGGAGAGAGGGACGCAGTGGCGCTGGGTGCAGTCCACAATATATTACAGCTAATTATGATCGGGGCAGTCGGGCAGCCCATTGGCTACGCAATTTGACGGCTTTGGCAGCGCGACTGCAATTTCAATGCTGCTTTTGAGGCCAAGGCGTCAGCCAGTCAGCCAGTCAGCCCACTGTGTGAGTCATAGTGGCTGTGGCAGCGTCTAATGAGCCTGCCGCAGCGCAGGCTTGGCCCGGTGAAAGCACAGTCCGCATATGTACTCTAATTTAAAGTCTAAAAGTCGCTAATTACAAGTTGCTCCAGCTAACATTGCTAACATACTGTGTTCACACTCACACGATGCCGACGACGACGACGACTGACACTCATATTCATACTCCGACTCGCACTCTGATTCGAACTCGCTCACACGGCGCACATGTTGCGCATGTGCAATGAGGATGCCTGACAGGCGGTTGGCTACGTGTGTGCCAAGCGGATTTACTGCCCAGCCTGGTGGGTGTGCAAATGTGTATGTGTGTGTGTGTGTGTGTGTGTGTGTGTGTGTGTATATGCTTTCGCATTCACATCTGCAACGTCATCATCACGATGATCGGCAAGAGCAGAACAGCAACTGGCAACCGGTTTCTGCATTTACTTTAAATGCTGCAAATATTTAAAGCGGGATTATCCACAAGCGAACCGGAGGCCTGGCCTGGTTCTGGGCCCAGTTCTGGGGCTTGTGCTGGCTCAGCCACCTCTGGCTCTACAGCTCCCCCTCCCGCTCTCTATCGCTCTCTCTCTGTCTTGCTCTCTGCATGGCATGTAAATCGGTTGTAATTAGTTAA